TGTATTGTTACGTAATCTGAATTTTCTAAAAACTCTCCACACGCCTATAAACATAACCAACGCGACGCGCCAAAAAAGGGCATCTATTATTAGTTTGGTATAGTAAGTGTGTTATCAACTTCAGAAGCTATAACTATAACTGTTATAGTGCTTATCAATCGGAAAACTTCAGGTATTTGACCAGGAGCATTTACAAAGCTCAAACATTACAAATCATTTAACTTCAGTTGGTTCTCATCGGACATTAGTATTTTTACGAAAACATTATATAACTTCATGGTGGAAAACTCGACGTGTGTGGCTGGTAAATAACGAAGGGCAAAGCTAGCTAGCTCCCCGTTAAGCGAATCGTACCTGCATCAACTCGTAATTAACTCTCTCATCGTGAATCCTTGATAAGATATCAAGGAAGTTCCAGACTAGAAAGAAGACTTTATATTGATTGTAAGTTTGTAAAATTTTATATATATAAATCATTGTTTATAATAACTATTTGTATCAACTGCTATTGTAAATTGTATTATTGTTTGTGCATTAAAACATATTTGTGTTAAAAAAGAAAACTATGTGTATCAGTCATGTTGGCAAATATCATAAACTGACTATATATCGACTTTTACTTAACTGCTAAATCCAAAGTACAATCTAACTACTAAATTTAAAGTATCATTTAGCTCAATTTCAGGCTATTTGAAATTGTAATACGTAACAACCTCCAAAGGTATTCTAGTTACATTACAGGATAAGACCTAAGTGTCACAAATTAAAATTTTGTCTAAAACGGCTATGATTAAAGAAGCTTAGTTATTGTCTTATATTTGCCCCCCCCCCCAGTCTACGGACTTATAACGCTATAAACCAGGTTTCGATACCCATGATGGACCCATTGCTTAGGTTTGTGCTTAATGAAGTAAAAACAAATACATTTATATTTCTACACTCAGTATTTATAAGGTACGTTGCAGTGAACTATTTCTATTCCATCTTATGTAATAGGTTGTTTTATAGGGCAACGAATACCCTGATTTTTCGTATTCATTAATAACAAATCATAACAAGAAAGTAAATATAATTTACTGAGCAATATTCTGCAAAAACTATACCATAAAATATTATAATTATTTCTAATTACGACTATACAATGTTATTTTAATGTTGACCGGCCCTAGAAATTGTTGAATTTGTTAAGTAGAGACAATTACTATAATTGGTGCTGGGTAATTTGGCCCATAACTTAAACATTTTGTCATGTTTCATGAAATGACCATAAATAATTTTGATCACGCCACTCTATACATATCAAACTCATTTACCAACCTTATGTATTTTCGGCTCTCGGGGAACAGTGATCACGTGACGCTGCACATGTCAGAGACTGTCTAATCAATAGCGTAAATGTTATAGACTACATAGCTTGCAGGGTGTGGAATAAGCTACCTGCAATTTACTTAGCTGTGGTCTGCCTAGAGTATAATGTTGTTTGGAAACTAGCGTTGAACTGGTATCACCATTCAGTCTAGCAACAACCACATTAAATATCGCTAGGGGATCCAGCGTTGCATCGAGTGGGATTGTAACACTTCACCGAGAAAACTTCATTATTTATATGAAGTGGCATAGCAGTACCGCACTTGGAAATTAAAAGCAATGTACGGTAAAGGTGAGAGCGAGTAAATAGTTAAGGTTCGTTACATTAGTTACCTTGTACATGATAACAAGTTTGTCTCAGTATGAAGAAGATCTTTCCATTAGAGTCTGAGAGTGAGTAAATAATT